TGAGATAAAAGGTCTTAGTATCAGAAAGCATTTGGTTGACCATAGTGTTGTTGACTGATTAAAAACAATTCGAGCTCCTGGGATCTCTGGTGGAATGCTGATGAGGGGCTGGCTCATGTGTTACAGGCAGGATGGACTCTTGCAGAGATCAAAGTTGCTTTGCTGAAATGGAACACTAAAAGGTATGCCTTCATAACCACAGATGAATGAAGCAAAGCTACTGACATAAAGATTAAATTGCAATATATTGACTTTGCATTTATTACTTATTGGATACATATCTTAAAAGCATTTTGAAGATGTTCCAAATTCTAGCCATTGCTCAGGATAACAACTTTTAAAACATTTACTATCGGTGATGGTTTTCTTTGAGGACAGTCATTATGCTTTTTCTGATTGCTTTTGCTTTAGAAGTGAATACTTTATCTTGATTTGGTCATTTTTCACATGGGCACCTTTTAGGGTTAGTGATTAAAAGAATGAGGTTTTGAATGAACAAAACCTGGGTTCTAACCTTGTGAGGCTTGCTTATTTGCAGGGTGACTTTGGGCAAGTTATTTAATTTCTTTATATCTCTATTGCTCCTAGGAAAATGAAGGGAATATAGAAACTATTTTTGTAACAGTTGTTTAGGTGAACAGTGATAATTCTTATAAAGCACTTATTTGAATATTTTATACTTGATATTTTTTCTCATCTATAAAATAAATGAGAATAACAACAGCAAAGGGAACAAGTCAGATTCTCTTGTTCTCTATGAACAATATATATATACTAAGTGCTTGGTGAAGTCTGGGTATTAGGAAATGGTATCAGAACCCAGATCCAAGAAATGCCTCAGTAACACAGTGTAACTCTCCTATTCAGCCCATAGAATTTTGATTCAGCTATATGAAAAGAAAAAGCTCATAGATAGGGAAAAGCATATCTGTTATATCTATGTGAGTATCTTTCTAAACAGGTCTTCCTGGCCAAGAAAGAAATACAGTTTAGATGTCAAGGCTTAAGTGAAGACTTCTGCTTTCTACCCATTGAATTAAGATTGTCTTTGGGCTAAAGACCTTCTTTAGTTGCCAATCAAGATATGAAGCAGAGAAAACAGATATGCATGGGCAGATTAGTCTAACACAGTGATTTATGGATAAATCTGGGGCAGAAGGGAAAATGAATATCTAGCTTTAGAGCATCTTCCCCTTTACACCAATGTGGCTCAAAGAATGTCTTGACCTTTCACAAGGAGATAAAGAGCTCTCCTCTCGAATGCAGGGAGGGAGTTGAGAAATCATCATTTCCATAGATCCTGTCTCAAAACATGGAGTCTTTTGAACTAGGGCTGCTAGATTTAGCAAACAGAAATATAGGACACCCAGCTAAATTTGAATTTCAGATAAGTAGGGAATCATTTCTGAAGTATAAATATGTCACACACAATATTTGGAACATGCCTATACTAAAATGTTATTTGTTGTTTATCTGAAATTTAAAGTTAACTGGGCATCCTGTATTTTATCTGCAACCCTATTTCCAACAGTTTTTTAAGGTTGACTTGGTGATGGTGCATTGAAATGAACCTACTGAATCAGTTTTACAACCCTAACACTATTGACCTTTGGGACTAGATGCTTCCTTGGTGTGGGAGGTTGTCCTGTATGCTGAAGGATGTGTAAATGCAATAGTGGCCTCAATTCAGTAGATGCTGTAAAACCATTCCCTCTCCATTTTGACTACCCAGTATGTCTCTAGATGTTGTGAAATGTCCCTTGGAGGTGGGGGATCATCTTCTAATTGAGAACCACTGCTTTAGAGATAACAGCAAACAGAAGTGTACAGTAAATCAAGATGGTAGACCAGAAAGTGATTCTGATAATGATAATCCAGGTCCTTCCCCTCCTTCCATTTCTCATTACTGTCCTGCATCTTCAGCTCGTTCCCAGTAATGTGAGAAGTTCCTAGATGCCTGCTTGAGGAACCCGCTAATACAATTTCACCTCCAAGTTGATTATAATCACCAAAATTATCATTCTATGTTTATTTTGCCTTTTCTATATAGCTTACATAAATCTATATATGACAACTGTTTAGGGTTGAACTCAGAAATCTTCAACAAACACTAATTGATGGTGTCACTTACATGTGAAATACAGAGAAGCCAAACAGAGGGTCAGACAAACACTAAAACCAACCCTTGGAAGCTGACCATAGATCTGGGGCATCCAATAAAGGAGGAGTGGAGGGGAAGCAATGAGAATGGATTGGGGGGGTTTAGAGAGGGGGTCAGTGAGAACAAAGGGCTTATGGCAGAGGATAATGGGTTCTTTGGTGTTGGGAGAGCTATAGTGACCACACCTGAGGAAAGAAATTCTATGCCATCAAATATTAAAAAGGATGCAATAATGGTACTTGATTACAAAAATAATAAAAATAAAATAAAGCTTTTGATGAAGAATAAAATCAAATATATATATATATATTCTGCTTATATTTGATCAGAGATCAAAGTTTGTGTAACTTGGGTGAGCTTAGCTATTGATGGACAGATCTCTTACAAACTACCTTACTGTGTCTACATATCCTTTTGTTCCATTTTGTGAAGGGAGCAAAATGAATAATGAATTTTGTCCTCCAAACATTTGAGAAAAATGCTGCTATGCCTTTATGTGATGTTTCCATTTGCAAGGTTTCCCTTCCTGAATATGTTTTTCCATCGGAAAAAACTGGAGTGACTTTCGCTTTATTAACTTTGATTGTCCACCATTGATAATTAATTTTGTAGGCCTATCAGCTTATGTAGTGGGAAAATTTCATTAGCAAGTTAAATGTAACTTCGTTTGTTCATTGCTTTCCGTATTTTGTAGGATTTTAGAGGAGCAATGGCTTTATAAAAATCCATTGAGCAAAGCAAGGCAATGTAACTATCTGGTTATATTACTGTGGGAAAAATCTCTGTTTTTATTCTCTACCAGTGCTGTACATTGTCAAATCTCTTTCATGTGGTATGTTTCCTTAAATTATAATATGTTTTCTCAGAAGCCTAACTTAAAGAATAACCTTATCATTATTTGTACATAGGACTTCTTGATTGCAGCAAAATCCTGAGCTTTTCAAGTTGCTGATATTTATATTTAATCAATAACCCCATTTCTTTTATTCTGTCTTACTGCTGCAATTGCATGTTCCAAGTTGCATATGTTTTATTATGAAGAATTCAATTGAAATAGTCATATTCATGTTTGCAAAATGGATGATATTTTATTATTGGTTATAAAGAAAAGAAATTTCACACTGTGTAAAACCAACTCTTCTGTTATAGCATGGTGAATTCTGAAAGTGAGAAACAAGTAACACATCATGCAAAGTGTGGCCACAGAGAGATGCTGTAACATTCTTACCACATTATAGAATAAGACCTGGTAATTGTTATATCTCTAATTGACAAACATTCAACTCTCATTTGAAAATACACAATCTTTGCATCATTTGATGATTTGTAGACTAGAAAGTTGTTGGTAAAAATATTTTATACCGATATGACATTATCAGTGATACCATGTAACATGTTACCTGGACATGACCTCAGAGGCCCCCTGCATTTACAGGTATTTAGTGACTGGACTATCAGGAGGTGGGTGGGTGCCAGAGTGTCTGTGAGAAATGGGGGAAGTACTAAAGAAGTTCAAGGTAACAACTATTAATGAGCCTATCTGGTAGCATTTTACTGTTTAGATATTTGGAACAATTGTATCATTATGTACCAGTTGGATTAGGTGGAAACCATGAAGAAGGCAGTGGTGTAATTAGACAACCAGATCACTGGCCAGAGTTCTTGAATCCACCTCTAACTCATTGCATGGTTTGGATAAGACAGGTCTTGTGACCTCCATTTTTTGAGACTATTGGATAAAAGTAGCCCAAGTTTCCCTTCCTGTTCTAAGAATCTACTTTTCTTCCCTTCCTAGTGATCTGCAAGTTCTGTGCACAGAGGATGGAGTTGTCTCTGAGTTTCTGAGCAGCAAGAGCCTGACGTGTTTGATGAAGAGTGAGGGGTACTTGCATGCTCTATGGCTTGTGGACAGCATGACAGTTAGTTAGCCACGAAGCCGATTCAGTGCTCTGTTTGTTAGGCAGGAGCAGAACAAGAGCAATTAAAAACCTATTTGGAGGAAGCTTAAAACTATTTTTTAAAATGATTTATTTATTTATTCATACAGAACTAGGGTACAGGCCAGAAGTGGTGAGAGCATTCACCAGAGACAGAATGGGGAGTAGAACAGGCAGATCAATGAAGTACACTGCTGAGGGGAGCAGCAGGTGAGACAGGAGAGGTCCGCTGTGCCATGTGGGTCATCTTGGGCTGAGTTCCAACTTGCACTGAAGCGGCTGCGGACAGCTTGCAGTACTGTGTCCCAACAGGTTGTGCCACCAGGGTGGGCCTAAAACTATTTTTTAAAGATGAATAGTGTACAAAGTTGGTAGGAATTTATTGCAGAGTAGAAAATGTACACATACAGAAACAAAACAAATGTTGTTTTTGCCTGGAATTAACTCAATCAGACCAAAGCAGGTATTCAAGAATTTGTTGTTCTGGCCCAGAATGTGAAATACTTCCTTCAACTCCTTGTTTCACTTTTGTGTTTTTTGTTTGATTATTGATATTTTATGATTCTTTACATTCAATGAATATATTCTGATACCTTCTTAGGAATAAGCAGTCATACATTAGTGAACAACGCTGTGTCAACAGAAAGTAGAGAAGATGTCAAATTGTTTAAATTTGAGTTGAAATCACTTTCCATTTTATAATATACCTTTAATTTTTTTTTTTTGTAACTGTGAGGAAGTCATCAACATAGTTACTGATTAATAATAAAAAAAACATTTAAAATGGTTTCTAATACACATGCTGTATAAGGAAACTGGATGCCAAATAATTACCTGCATATGCAATTTTTCTTTTTGCACTGCTTATACAAAACATAGTTTATTAGAATGAACTGATTCTGTTTTACTATCCTGTTACTTATTCTACTTGACAAACAGAAGTGAAGAAAATGACGAATTGATTACCCGGGCTCATTTTCTTGAAATTTGCACATAATTCCCATTTGTGCTTTTTAGAATAAAGAAAGGCCTTACTGTAACAAATTAAGAATATGCATAACCTGTTATGACATAGTCATAGATATATAATAATATGGTCCAGAATTACAGTACTGTCTCGGAGTACATCATATTCAATATTCACTGGAGATGTCTTAGAGACATCTGTTGTAATTACAGGAACATGGTTTCTAATTCATTTAATTCCCTTTCCTACCTAAACTGTACATATAAGTGAATTTTAAGAGACTGTATAAATAAATTTTTAATTACAAAGTGATGTTATACAATACATTATTAATAATAACCAACAATGCATAATGTTTATGCATGAGTCCATTGGAAAGGCAAGCTAATATATGTCATTTCTAAAAGAATGCACTAATTTGTCCTGGATTTGTGAATGAAGTTGAATCCATGATGCAAACCATGAGTGCAATAAGTAGTTTCACATGCTATTTTATAGTCAAGAAACATCCTGTACTTAGAGCATTTAGGTATGTGATCAAGATCGTATTTTGCAGCTAGCCATGCAGTGGTGAAATTTGGAATAAGACCACTGAGTTGATAATACTTAGCTTTCCCAAACAGGAATAAAATGCTCTACGGCATCCAAGAACTGTGCACTCCTTACATTTCAGCACATGGAAATCACACTCTTATTGTAATGTGGTTTCTCCAGGAACATGGCGGCTTCCTTACACTAGCGGTAACAGATCTCTGATATCTCCATGGCCAGCTCCAGACACTCGCTGGTCTCATGGCAAGATTCAAAAAGGCTGCAGTCCATGTCACAGTTGCAATTGCAGTCATTGCGGGAGTGACCTTCATCTGCGGTGTGGTGGTATCTGTAAGAGGGGCAGCACACGTTGGTGCATACTGTTTCACATATGTCGGGGAGCATCAGGAGACAGTCCCAGAACTGGCAAAACAGACAGGTGAGGATAAGGGAGGCACACTCATCTGTTTAAAGCAGAAGAAAGAGAATAAACAGTCACGCATATGGGGCATTATCAAGGGTAGGCATGTGCAGTGGAGCTTGATTTCTTTATAGTCAACTCTTAATTAGTTATCCATACTGGGGATAATGTGCACTGTTTTTCTTTCAAGCTCTGCCTGCCCATGCTAGTCCCTACTCTACTTAAGTAATTGCTTTATTAACTTCCTGAGCATTTCCTACTGACTCCCCTTAATCTGCTTACTTAAAGTGCTGTCACTTCTCTAAACTCCTTTATTTACTTTGCCTGCAGAGGTGCTGGGAAGTCACACAATTATCTACCTCTCTGGAAGCCTTGCAGCTGTCTGAGAAATAGCAGGTTCTCCCCAAGTGCAGCAGCTTTCAGGCACAATTAGAGTAGGGGGCAAGGAAAGGCTGTACAAATTTCTGGCTCCTTGTCAGAAGACTTTGGTATTTGTTCGATGTGAATTCCCACAAATCTGCCACACCCATAGTCAAATGTAAGCTAAAAGCACATTCCAAAACATAAAAAAATTCAAAGATAAATAATTATACCTTTTTTCTTGTATTTTATTTTAAACACCTGTCCCTTTTTTCTTCTAGTTATATTAAGCCTTTATTTTATTTTTTTAAGTCTTGGTTTTATATTCAAATTAAATGAAATATGTCATCATATGCTTAAAAGGATATATATCTTATCAATCCTTTTTAAGAAAATTGGTTTAAAATTTTACTATGCAGACTTGTAAAAATCAGAAAAGTATCTCTAAGGCATTGAAAGTAATTGGTAATTCTAGCCAAACAGCTGTGATAGGCTATAGATTATTATACTTTTTTGTTTCCATAAAGGGAACTAATTTGAAGATGTAACAGATCTCTTGTTAAAATTATAACCTCCCTGTTTTTCACTTAATATTTCAGAAACATGAGGGACTTGCAAAGTGTAGGTAAATATGCATTTTAATATACCAATTAATTAAAATTAGCATCCTGAAGGTGTTTGTTGATGGTTGAAACTGACATTCTACCATGAATTGGAGAAAATTTTCCTACTATTGAATAACTTACCAGTCAATTAAAATTAAACTTTTATAATGGCTTATTTTTTTTCCCAACAAGAAAGATAATAGCTTTTGGCTTTTGATCTACAGTTGATGGAGACCATGCAATCCTGCAGAAGAGATACTATTCTCTGAGGAGTCTCATTCACTTACTTGTAGCGATGTTTTCCAGAATAATCCTTTTCTTTTATTGTTCATAGACTTGTTAATTTTTAAGAGAGAGCATAGAAACTTGCTCTAAAAAGAACAAATATTTTAAAGAAAGCTATTTTAATATGACGCTCATATGTAATCTTCATAATATGCAATATTGTGATTTATAAGAAATATAATTTGGGCATTCACATGACCACACGATTATTTCTTGAACATATTTGGTCTCTATCCACAGTTCCAGTCTCACAGCTCTTCAATTTCTAAAGTGTTGAGAGCATTAAAAGTGTCTTGTGATATTAATGAAGGCAACTTTTGAAAAACACGAGGCTGGAAGTTGTTTACCAGGGAAAACCACTGGCTGGTGGGTGGAACATCTAGTCCCACCCCCCACACTCTATCCTCCAGGGAAAGGAAGAGGGTGAGTTCAGTTGCCAAGGCCAGTGATTTAATCCATCATATTTGTGTAACGAAACCTCCATAGAAGGCCAAGAGGAGTGTGCTTAGGGGAGTTTCCAGAATAGTGAAGAATGGGGAGCATGGCATGCCTGAAGCGCCCTGCCTTTCCCCATACTCACCAGATGGATCCTTTCCATTCAGCTGTTCATTTGTATTGTTTGGTATCCTTGGTAACAAATCCTCGATCTAGTGCATAAATGGGTTCCCTGAGTTGTGTGCCATTCTAGCAAATTACTTGAACCTGTGGTGAGTGTCCCGGGAGCCTCTGATTTATAGCCAGGGGGTCAGAAGCACAGATGATGTTGAATTAAGAAGGGCACCTGAAGACTGAGGAGAGGGTGGTAGGATTCTTCTGTCTACAGCTGATTGGTCAAAAGCCAAGGTAACCCTGTGGGGCTTGCCTGGGGCTTACTACCTGCATTTGAAGTGGAGAGTTCAGCTTTAGGAGATTGTATCTTAAACTTATAACAGGGTGGTCCTCAGGAAAAGGGCAGGTTTCAGCTTCCCTACTCAACTGAGGATGGGTGGAGCTGTGCAAATAGAAGGAGAACCTGGAGGGGAGGGGGGAAGGAGGAAGAATAGAGAGCTAGAAGGAAACCTAGAGGAGATAAGGGGAGCAGAGATAATATGCACTGTATCTGGGTCCTGGACTGGTTGAAACAGGTGTGGTCAATGACAGAATTTATCTTGATTTTGCTATTTTCTTTTCAGGCTTATCTGGTCCTTTCTGTCCCTTTCCTATGGGTCCCCAACAAAAGGTGCCTTAGTCCTGTGGCAGACTCTTGGGCTTCATTGTCCCTGCTTTGGACCAGTCCTGTTTGGCTGAGCCTTTACGCATGAGGGGGGGGGGGGGACTTGGGTGCCTGATTGTTAACTACATTCTTTCCCTTCTCTGAATTGCACACTCATCATATTAAAGCTCCTTTCCAGAAAAGGTCTTTTGCACTAGAATGTGTTTTGTCTTGATGCTGTGGATGGCAGAACTGATATAGAGCAGGCAGTTTTGGAAGCTTGGAATGTTCCTCACCTGTCCTGTAACAGATTCAGATTCTGATGTTATTTCTGGGTAGATAGAGTCAAAACTGAGTTGAATGCTTGTGTCCCAGAATTCCTCTTTATGAGGAGGGCACACGTGCACATGCATGCATACACACACCCTGCTGGAACTGGGGCTTAGGATGTCACCAACATGCTATATAAAAATTTAAAGTGAGACCTGGGTAGATAGTGTCAAAACTGAGTTGAATGCTGGTGTCCCCAAACTACTTGTTTTGAAGAGCCCCTCTCCACACACGGGCGCGCGCGCGCACACACAAACACACACTCACACTCTGTTGGAATTGGGTCTCAGGATACCAACAACATGCGTTGTAAACATTTAAATTGAGGCCTAAACATTGATAAAAGAAACCTTCCTTCTGTCCCTCCTTCCTACCATCCTGACTCTTACCCTTTTTCTTTTCTGCTAAACAAGACACTGGTGGAGAACCACCCCCAGGCCTTTGTGACTACTTTAATTGCCACACATTGTGAAGGTGCTCTGGCCTCTAGTCAATATTTATAGTGTAGGAAGCATATGATGTACCTATGATGGTACCTACTGACTTCTTTGCCAGACTGGCTGTATTTTTTTTTTTTTTCACTTATATACAGTTTTTAGAACATTGCCAACACATCTTATGTCAGCAGTCATCATAAACCAGCCACAGAAATTCAGGAATAAGTGTATCACTATTTTGTGTATGCTTTGGGGGTATTTGGGGATCAAAGACTGGGACCTAAAACCTCATCAAGTTTTACCAGAGCCAAGATGCTACTACACTGCCCCTGGCAAAGAAGCTTTCAATGGAAAATACTCCAAGTATATACTCCAGGAGCCCCTACCTAGAAGCCCAAGATACTTTACTTACCCAGGGTATGAACATATTAAGGTACTGTCCTTTGAAGGACTAAGGTTGAAAGTTCAGTTTGCAGGTAAGTCAGGCTGGGTGTAGGGTGACTTGTGGACTTAGAAACTGGTGTTTCTTTTGGATTATGAATAACCTATTAACCTGTTTATAAAGTGGTCTTAATTGTCCTGAGGACATAAAAACATTTGATTCAATTTCTCTTGCCAACATCTCTTCCAGTTGGTAGACTTTGCAGGTCTCCACTTCTGATGTGCACTGTAGATTTTATTAAAAAAAAAAAAAAAAAAAGTTTTGGCCTAATCCTTTGGCCAAATTGGTCTTTGTTTCCTTCTACCTCTCTATTTTACACTTGTGAATAGAAGTAACTTTTTCCTGGTTTCTTAGTTCATCCCTTTTATTTGGTTATAAAAGGCAAAGTCTCTTGCTCAAAAAAAAAAAAAAAGGCAACATTAATGAATTGAAAACAGATTTTCTAAACTTTCATGTATGTTCTACACTTTTCCTAAATGACAAACAATTCTACATGAGCAGGAGCAGACAAGGTTGTTTTGCATATGGCCAGTTTTGGTTTGCACAAAAGCAACAAAGAGTTCAGAGGGGAATTTGAAACTGTTTGAGAAAAATTAGACTTCTCATTCTTTTGAAAGAATATATTTTCCTTTACCTGAGGGACTTCTTGGGACTTTAATGTTTAACAAACATAGTACTCAAAGCCATTTTTCCCTGATTAGCACCCTTTTCTTGGCCCATCTAAAGGCGATGCCAGGCACCCAACTGCCTACCTCACATTCCTTATGCAATGTTTTCAACATTTCTCACACTATGTATGACTGGAACATCCCAAGGCCAAATTGCATTATAGGCCTCCCTGCTTTCCATTACACAAACTTGTCCCCCTTCCAGCCTTCTCTTGTACAAACTCAGGTATATGTATCAGGAAATTAAGGCACTTTTTTGAAATTTTTCTTTTCCTCATCAAATCCGCCCATTTAAATTCTGTGCTGAGTCCTGTAGTTCTATCTTAAATTCTTATTGGAAATCCAGTGGCCTCTATCCACCTTCTCCAGAACTACCACCTTAGTTCTAGTAACCACTTGATATCAAGTCAATAACAAAATCCTCCTTTCTACAACACTGCTTCCACATGCTTCACATTTATCAACTCATGATATTAAAAAAAAAAAACAAACCAAAAACGTGGCTCTCCCTGGTGGTGCAACAGGTTAAAGCACCACACTTTGAAGCTCTCAGAAGCCACTGCACAGCAATTGTACCTAGGTCCTTCTCAACCTTTAGGCCTTTAGCTTAAAACACCTTCCCAAGAAGTCTCATCCTTGCTGAAAAGCATAGGTGCTTGCTATATTATTTCTTCTCGTTTGTTAAATTTTTGATTGTTAATTACTTTCACCTTCTAATAGAACCTAAATGAAAAACTGTAGTCTTGCTGAATGAGTAAATAAATGAATATTTGTTATTGAGGATTGTATGATCCCATTTTTTAAATGAAAGAACTCTGTCTTGGAGATTATCATGGACTCTCCTGAATCCTTTAACTGTGAGGTGGTGGAACAGGGATCCAGATATTAGTCTTTCTGGATCCAAACTTCATACTCTCTTTCCCAATATCTCATGTGCTGTTTCACATGAAGCAATTTTACACTCTATATGCAGCACACATAGGTTTCAGACTAACCCTGAGTTAAGTTTTTTCTTACCATCCTTGCTTTCAAGATGAGGAAATAACCTCAGATAGTTTAGGAAACACTGGTCATGGTTAAACTTTAAACTTAAGACTGTCTTCTGTGTGGCTCATCACTCTGGAGCTGGCGGCCTGCTACCCTGTTGGTGCAGGACTCCACAGGCTGACTGGCGGCCCCTTGTCCTGCATGCCATGTTCTTACCGTGTTCCACTCTATATCCCCAAGACTGGCAAAGTCTATTTTCTAGCTTCTGTTTTGTAGCTTCTGGCTGCCTGTAATCACTGGGGCGCAGTGACAGCAAATGGGAGGAGGAAGGCAGAGAGAACCTAAGGCGTTTCTCCTCCTTTCTGTTTTGGGTAGTGTCTTAGCACAGGTTGTGTTTTCTCATTGGTATTATCTCTTTCTGAACCCCTTTCTTTCTGTGGCTCTTGCTAATGTCGTATTCCAGTACTAGTGATCTATCTAGTAATGGTTATATGTGGCCAGTGTACTAATACCAAGTATGAGTGTCTTACTAGTGATCTGAAGGAATCAAGGAAAGAGGGGGGCAGAGTCTTTCTGTTGTTGCTAATTTCTGGGTGGCCTCTCTGTATCCTCTCTTGGATTTTCACCTCTTCTAATTACTTTGTAACATGTTAACCCAGATACTAAAGTCTCTTTATTGTACCACCTGCATCCCTGCATAGGCTCCATTTACTGCTGTCTGGGTACCATCTTGGCTCCAACTTTGTGCCTTCCAAAACCTGGATTAAAGACTTGAGATGCAGCCCAAACCTTCAGGCTATACAACCCAAAGTGGTATTTGGTTGTGAGCAAGAAGTGCCAGGACAAAGCCCCCCTTAGGGATGTTTTATTTTCTTCTTATACCTCTAGGGTATCTTTAGGATATCCAGGCTGTAATGTGCTAAGTGGTACCCTAATGACACTGAATGATTAATGTAGCTCCAGAGGGCTACTTGTACAATTGGGATTGGCTAATTAAGAGGGAGAGTCTGCCTCATTAGAAAGGATCAGGTTTAATTACAGTAGAAAGATAACAGTGCAAAGGAGTTTCCTAACCATTCTCCCAAATAAGAAGAGGATGGTTCTTCCAGAAAGGACCCTAGATAAACAACTACCCCTCTACCCCCTAAAACAAGGTAAGGGGGAAAGGGTGAAATAAATCTGCCCTAAAATCAGTATTCTAATATTGGTGGTTCCTGTTTCATCCATAGAAAACTCAGCATAGTACTGAGATGCATGGTACAATGACTCCAGCATTTGCTAAAAGTTTTTTTTTTTTTTCGTTAAAAAGTATAAAGTATGGTTCCTAATCTCCCAAAATTAAGTTATTATTATTCCTTTTTAAGTCTGTGATGTAGAATGGGAATAAATAAAGTGTGAGTGAATGTCTTTCTCTAGCTGGGGTATCATCCCTGATGTTATCAATTTTAATAGCTACTTAAATATGTCAAGATCTATTTAAGTTCAGACAAGCAAACGTAACAATCCAGTCAGTTCTTTAGAACTAGAATGACTTGATTTGGGTGATACTTAGTAAATTTGTGCTTATGCTTTTTTTCTGAGCAAATGAACTGAAATAATTATAAAATTGAAACATTTTCTAAGGTGACACTACTACCTTTAATTGTATAAAATTTACAGTGTAGAAAATGTAATCATTTTACTCAGTAGTCCATGGTGTAATTAAGACTATTCTTTTGAGGTATCTTCTATTTATGATATTCCTTTTCCACCTGGATGAGATATCTCAAATTCAAAATTATATATCAATTAGGTCTGTTCTCGGGATTCTTTCTAAGGAGACTATTTTCTAATATCATGTGTATCCATGATTTTATTAGCCACAGGGATGCTTTTGCAATCAGAACATAGAAACAGAAGCAGAGTCATGGATAGTGCTCTGGACTTTTTCCATTTTATTTGGGAAAGGGATCACACAGGATGAGCCACAATTTAATAATAAAGTAATGTTGCAGCACATAGTGTGTGATGTGCAGTAAAGATGCTTTTAAATTCCCATCAGAGCACACACCATGAACTGTGCTAATGGATGTAACACATTTTACAAAATCTGCATGTGCGAGGCTTTTCTGTCCTGTTTTAAGTGGGGCAATGTATATAAATAATAGATATTAGCAATTAAGCATCCATTCCTATGCACTCATTTATACATTTGAAAATAAATTAACCACAAACTACATGAAAGTGGATGCAATCTTCTCTTTTCCCTTCTGTTTCCCCTGCTGTTCCTGAAAGATATTTCTGTATTTATCTCAGTATGAACAATGACCCCAGCTCTCAATTTCTGCATCCTTAAATTAATTACTATCAAAAATTCTCTAAAGTGAAGCCAGTCTGACTTAACCCTTGATTTCCTTGATGTTTGCTCTTTAGAATAATGAGGGTTTCTTATCTCTATTTATGGGCCTTACTCTGGGTGTTTTAGTCTCTCTTTTATCCAGGTACCAAAAAATTCTTACCTAGTTGGGGGGATTTTTCACAACGTGAGAAAGGAAGAATAGGCTATTACCTATGTTGTCAACTTAAAAGTGAATTTCCTGGGTCATGCTGGCCTCAGTTCAGTCAGACCTTAAGAAAGCAATCTAATTCAACAGTCCACAAGAATCTCCTTTGCTCTTTTGAAGAGAGAGTAATCGGTTTTTTACTGCATGAAGCTCCTCAGTGTCACTTGCTATTTTAATGGAATAGTCATTTCGGTCCTTGTGTGTGAGCCCAGGGCTCAGGTATTATACTAGCTGCAATGGTACAGTTCAGTTTCCCAGGAAATATCCATGTTTCTGTACCAGCAGTACATGATGTGGGCATGGGCAGTGCCATTTTTAACTCTGGGATTTACTAGGACTCATAACAAGGAAGATCCATACATCCCTAATACAACCTGATAAATTGCTCTAGTGTCCAGATGCTTTTGCCGACAACTCCCCTGGTTTACACTGTTTCCTAACTGGCATCAAACTTCAACAAAGTCAGAAAGTTGGGCATCATCCTGAATTTGAGGTTATATCCTGGCAATCTATAGGACAAAGTTGGCCCAAAGCTGCTTGCTACTGGGAGTATCTGAGGCTTCAAAAAAGAAATGGAACTATTGCCAACACAAAAATTTGAAGATTTCTCATACTGTTCCAGATCTCTTAACTCTGGGCCTGTATTTCCTTTTGGCAACAATTAGCTAGAACTGAATGGAGACAGTGCTCTTCACCTTGCCACATTCCTCACCATGACATTTGCATTATAAATATATATTAATATATATGGATATGTATGTACATATGCATGTATATATACACATATTCAATATATACATACATATGTTTTAGAAATCTCCTCTCCCCTTAAATGTTATAATAATGAAAGCAAAGCTTGAATATCTATTATATAGCAGGTTCTGTATTGAGTGTTTTATATGTTATTTTATTTGAACTTCAAAACACCTATGGTGTGTCATTAGCTCAACTATGCAACTAAAAGTTTGATATTTGGATATGGTAAAAGCTTTTCCAGTTTCATGCAGTTAATAATTTCAAAGACAAGAGCTGAACTCTATGTTGATATTTATAATGCCAAAGTTCTTGTCATACAGTTTAATTTTCCCCTTATTTTCAAAAAGATTTATAAATTTAAATATGAACTGGAGATTATATCCAGTTACATTTCTTTTGAGAAACTATAAGCTTTTTTTAATTGCAGATATAGATTTTGATCTCTACAAAATTTGTGAATGTTTTGTTTCCTATAAATGCCACAGTAAAGTGAACCTGAATAAAATTCCTTGTTTTTGATGTAAGGTCCATGACTTTAAATTTGACTATGCTGATCATTTAGAACAAAACAACTTGAAATTGACTTTACAAATGAAAAGTGCCTCGTGTCCATGGATGGGTTGACACTGATTTGCAGGAATCAGAAGGACTCCTCAAGGAGTCAAGCCCATTTTGCACAGCTTGCTGATGTAAGTAGGCATCTGGATATTTTACACAGCCTATTCACATTCCCAGCATTTCAATGACAATCTACTCTGCTTTCTCCTCTGGTCTAGAGTCATGGACTTAATAGTTTCAGACCTGGGAACAGAAAGCAGTTTGCCTTTTTTTTAATCAACTTCTCAGCACCATAGCAAAAATGACTGCACTTGACCTGTTATTCAAAGCACTGCTTTCTACTCCCAACTTTGAGAGCAAACAATCTGCCAAGCAACTCATATTGTAAAGTGACCTTGACATGTGTCATTCACCAAGGTTTTCAAATTGAAATCTTCCTGTTTAATATTCATAGACTTTTTTTTTTTTCCCTAACAGCATATGTGATGATTTTACAGAGGCTGGGGGGTGGGGAGTTTTATTTAGACATGGGTTGATTCTGAGAAACATACCATCAGTGTCTCTCTGATGAACTGAAGTATCAGTTTGGAGGTAGGAAAATTTCGTTTGGCATTCTTCAAGGGAGGACAGTGATGTGCTGGATTCTGAGGATTCTGACAGTTTTTTCTCACTGGGGGTTTCCTTGGCTGGTCCATCTGTGATATTGAATTCAGATACTGAATTTATAACGATAGCATTAATGGGTTTCTCGTCTGCATGCTTTTCATTTGTGAGTTGCGTATCTAGATGAAAAAAGAAAACACATACACAAATCCACTATAGTTGACAAGGCCTGGTGGTCTCACAATGGATATTTGCAGAAAATTTCACATTCCATATTTTTGTAAGAGTAAAGTCTTATTTAAAAGAACAGAACATTATTGAGCAGGATTATTTTGTGTAACAATGTAAGTTAGAATAAAAGTGCAGTAGTTATAAAATTATATACAATTTATAAGTTTCACCTTTCAGAGTAATTTATAACTTATCCCTGGTTTACTTTAAGTCATGAGTGACAAAGATCAATGAATTCATTCACTTAGGTTAACAACATTTATAGTATGTTGTGAGCTTATTCTCATAGAAGTGAGTGTTTTAAAGATCTGTTTTTTTATATACAAGAACTAGGGTATAGACCAGAGGTGTGGGGGGTGAGAGGATTCACCAGAGACAGAGTGGGGGTCAGAACAGGTGGATCTACTGAAATACAATGTTGAGGGGAGCAGCAGGAGAGACAGGAGAGGTTTGCTGCGCCATGTACATCACCTCCCTGGCTGAGGATCAACTCTGCTCTACTGGCTGGTGATAGCTTGATGCTAACCTCTGCCCCAGGGAGGGCTCTAGTGAGTGTTTTACTAATCTGAGAATCAGCAAAAGATCTTAAGTGCTGGGTATACTAATCTATTGATGTAATCTCAATCAAGGTATTTTTATTCTGCGTCTACACGCTTCAGCTTTCTCTCCTGTGTAAGAGAAGTGAACACGTTGAACAATCTAGTTCATTATTACTTATGTCCTCAGACTCTAAATTGTTAACCTTCTCTCTGCCTTGGTGTTGCTGTTGTTCTCTTCATGTGATAACCTACTTGTCTTAGGTGTATATTTCTTGGGAACATTCTTTATCTCCAGATACCCTCCAGATGCAATTGTGAGGCTTGTCCAGGAACTTTTCACACAGTCCTTCCTTGACTGAGATTCTAACTTGGAAGAGCATAGAGGTGGCTGAGAAGAATTCCTACACTGTAACTGAGCACCTGTTACACAAGTGCAAGGGAAACAGTGGCCACCGGCCTTGGCTTTTATACCATCAACTACGTTAGCAAAGAAATAGCTGTTGAAGTTACAATAATGCATGTATTAAAGAGGAAAATATGATGGAAACATCAGACTGGAGAGTGGGGTAGTTAATTTATAACTTATCCACACCCATCTTATGGAAAAAAAAGATTTAACAGAAGACATTCTGAAGTGTGCAGCTTGACTGATTCCTGGGGACATCTTAAGACCTAAACAAGGAAGAGGCTTTATAATTTGATGTCACTAATGGGAGAGAGTGAAGATATATCCCTCATTGCTGGTCCAGTGTCCAGCTGACATAGTAATGCTCCTGCAGTGATGGAAATAGGCAATAAAATTAGCTGCCTGTTTTTATTTTGCTATATTTAAGCAATTTAGTCCAAGAAAAGAATTTTCTAGGTCCATTTTCTTTGTCTTTCAAAAGTTGCTTCTTCATTTGGGGCAGATAGAACTCTCTACTTGGCCTCAACTGCTAGGACAGTTGCTTCCATACTGCTGATAGAGGCATCTGGGGAAAAAAAATTTTGAAAAAATCAAAAATGTTTTTAAAGCCCAGACAACCCCTTCTATCTCCTCTCCTCTCCCAAAGAGTTTAAATCAAAATCCCCATGGATTCTTGAAACTCTCTAGATGATTGTGACCTGCAGACAAGTTTGGGAACCAGAGCCTAGGGACCTTCTCCTTTTGAGAGTGGAAGGAGGAGAGAACTGTCCTCTAACTTGTGCGTCAGTAGTTTTCAGAAACCGAAAGGCTCTTAACTGGCACGGGAGAGGACAAATATGTTTCACATAATTGTTTTAGGTCATTTTTGTTTCTTTCTGAGACTCCAAACAACCTTGGCTTTCTACAAATTTAATTTTTATTGCCTCTTTCTTATGCCACTGACTTTAAATTTCATGGTTGTTCTTTGATTGACCCTAAAAAGAACAGATAGAAATTGGGGAGTAGTCATCTATTGTTAGTAACAATAGATGTATAATGTTGAATAGCTTGAATTAGGTAAGAGATTGGGAAGCTCTTGGCCTTCTCTAACCCAAAGGCCACGAAATTAACAATCAGATGAGGATGATAAAACTAATAACTTTCTTATCAAAACTTCCAGTAAAATAAATATCACAAATAAATGTCCATTCATACTATGCTTTAGAGCTGTACTTGTGTTTTGTATTTGGGGGGAGATACATTTTTTCAGTATTTGGGAGGATTGAAGGATGTTTCTGTTCTCTATCCACTGAATACTAGTACCACCCATCACCCCAAGACATAACAAACAAAAAATGTCTCAGTGTAAAATGTCGCCAAATTTCTTTGTAGGGAAAAATCACCAAAGTTGAAAACCAAACCAGTGCTTTACATATGCACACATACACACCACAGAGCTGCATGCATTTTCTTTTAAACTTTATTTAACTTAAGCATCATGAAGTCTGTAGGAGGTAGATATTGTCACTCTTCGAACAGATGGGAAATGTATAAATTGGCTTTTCCAGTTAACAGGTGAATGAGGGTAACTAAAGCTTAGACAGTTTATTGAGATAAGTCGCTCATGATGTCTTCATTAGTAAGTGGTAGTAGTGGGATTTAAAACCAGGCTTGGTGGAGTTCAAAAACCTTGCTCAAGGGACTGTGAGATGGTGAGCAGGTGAATTGGTGATGGGGGTTCTATGGGGCTACACCTGAGAAAGAAAGCAAACATGCAAAAATAAAAAAAATGAACAATGAAGTAAAATATATATAATTAAGTTATTAAAAAAATCTTGCTCTTATCCTTGTCTCATTATATTACACAATATTTTCTCTGATTTAGACTTAGCTTTTATCTCTGATTTCTTCTTACTGAGATTGCTCATTAGCAATAACCCTTTTCGCCCTAAATCCCACGATGAGTCACCTTCCCAAAATTGAGCTTTGCAAACAACTTAGCTTAACAGAGACACTTTTTCCTCAGCAGTCCTGGCAAAGCAAGCAAGACCACCTTCTTGCACTCAGGAAATCCTGCCTATTTGGTTACAGCCGCTTTATATCATTAATGAACAGCCTAGAAAGTACTGATAGATAACGAAACCTTGATGAGTATAGAGATTGAAGCAGCTATTTACTTACAGAATTAATTTACAATCAGCTCAAATTATCACACGTAGTCAGGCTGCATGTAATTTAAATTGCCTTTACACAAAGTAATTCAGTAACAAAAAAAAAAGTTGGATAGAGGTTACTGGAATGTAGGAACATGCGGAGAATACAGTATACAGCCAAGTGGTATATGAATCTCCTTTTAATTTTGTGACAATTTTAAGTATAGCATTTTGAATGTAAGTTGTGTGCTACATTAAGCAACCATTTGAAGACACAGGGCTTGTACTGAGAGAATTTTATGGAGAAGTTAAACTGCCATTCATAAAGTTATTTTAATGCTCTATCTCTGTTTATATTTTTATTTTTTTTTCATTCCTCAGTGGGAACTATCTGTTGCTCATTAGAAAATCTGACATATACACATTTCAGAACCCAGTCTGTTCAACCTAAAATTCTGACATCTGAAGTGAGTCACAATTTTTGAGTGAATGCTACTGACATCTTCCATCTTTTATAGATGGAATGCTAACAATAATTTCACCAGATTCCTTCTTTTGCGGTGTTATTTGACATTGTACCCAAAGTATTATAAAGTAGCATAAGCTAAAAGGAGAAACATATAAAAAGTGGTATCACAACTTCTGCAGAGAAAACTATTTTGGAATTAAATAAGGAACTCGTGAAACTATATTTGGGATGTTATACATAGTTCTTGACATTAACTTAGAGAAAATAATTTTTTTTCTCAACAGAAAAAAAAAACAAAATTAGGACAGAAATTAGAAACTCCACTGTATTTCTTAAGAAAAAAAATTAAAGCATGTATGAAAATCAGTGATAAAGGAAACTTATGTTTGGGCTAGAAGTAATTGTTGAACTAATGGGCATAAACCTAAGTAACAAAAGGCAGAGCATTAGCAAATGTTACTCATTTAATAGCAAATGTTATTCATTTAATTCAGTTAACATTTACTGTATTTCCACATGTAATAGGTGCATCAATGTTATAGGAATTGTTAACTTATTTTTGGTTATTGAGGAAGTTTTTTATGATTTTCACTTTTGCTCACTAAATGTGATTTTGTAATTGCTGCATGCCTCTATTTCTCTCTCTCTCTATATATATATACACACACACACACACACTCACACACACATGCACACACACATTCAAATTATGAATAAGTAGCATCTCTTCTTACCTGGCCCCTTTGATTATATTTTTGTGTTTTCCATTCCTTTTCTCTCCCTCTCTCTTCATTTAATTCTCTGTCTGATCTGCCCTGTCTTATTAAGTTCTTTCCAAACCTCTAGCTCGTCACCATTTTTATTCTTTAAGACTGTTTGCTGGGCCTGCCTAGTGGTCTAGGGCTTGAATCTTAATATCACAGATATGGCCTGGGTTCAATTCCCAGTCAGGGAGCTGACCCATATATTGTGCAGCAGACCTTTCCCATCCAGCCTTTTGGCCCCCTTCGTGGTTTGGTTCAGTGAGTCCACTGGTTCTGCTCCCCACTCTGTCTCTGGTGAGTCCTCTCATCCCCCACACCACTGGCCTGTATGTCAGTTCTTCTGTGCAAAAATAAAAGACTTTTCCCCCTGGTTTCTGTCTCTGTATCCTACCTTTGAAGGTTGTATCATCCATAATTAAGTCACAACTTAATTATTTTCTTTGTGAAGCTGACTCAAAAATGTCTATGCAGTCAGTCAGACAAATTTACTGAGCAAAAACTACATGTGAAGTTCTGTGCTAGGTACTTGGGAATTCGGAGAGTCTTAGTTTCAGAGTTGCTACAAGCTGCAGGCTCCTACTTGAAACGGACTGCTAATTATTTTATTTGAATTATCAACCAAACTCTCAAAATACACA